AGTTCAGTATCTGCATATTTAGTCATGATTCGTTAAATCCTCGTCGTATCTTCATCAAATGTAATGGAGGTTGTGTTTTTAATATCTTGAAAAATAAATTTGCGTTTCACCCATTTTGAATTCTATATATTATTTAATAGTATATTAACATTACACAATAAAAATTTATTGAATAATCAATTTTTTTAAATAAAATATTGTTAAAAAATTCTCAAAATTTCAACGTAAACGCGTTTTCCATTTTTATTTTTCGAAAACAGTTTTTTAGAATGATAAAGAGAACGCATTTTCAAAAATTTCAAAACAGACACTCAAAACACAAAATACAAAATAAATTCAAAACTCAAAACACGAAACTGAAACACAAAGAGAACGGCCCCAAAGAGATCAGCCCCTAAGCTTTAGTTTGGATACGATTAATAAATTTAGTCAATGTTAAATATTGATTTCAGCCATATATTCATAGTTAACATTCGTTATTATTCACATATTTCATAGAACCCATTACTATTCCTATTTATAATTTTGTAAACGGATTGTAAAGGGGGCCTACATAGTTCATTTTATTGTCCAATTTAATATTTGGATAAACAATCCTCCAAGACATTTGTGGAATCCATTTACACTTAGGCCCTGTTTGATATGGTTGTTTTTCCATGGAAAATGGATTGATTTTTCATTTTCCATGTGTTTTGGTGTTTGATAGCATTTTTTTTCCATGCGAAATGTTTTCCACCCTCCTCCCCACACGTGCACATATTCCCTTAAATGGGTGAAAACCTTTTCCCACCATTTAGGTAGGAAATGGTTTTCCAGGTGCTGCCGTTTTTATTTTTATTTTTTTTTGTTTGGGCAATAGAAATAAATTTCATAACCAATTGTAATTTTTTTTCATTTTAATGGACAATTTTCATGTAAAACAAAGCCAAATGAATACTAAACTTTGATAAAAATAATTTTTTAGGAAATAATTTTTTTTATGGTCCGTTTGATTGCAATGGTGAAAAATGAGTAGAAAGAAAATAAATTTCAAAGAAAGAAATTGTTTAGAAATTGTTTTGTAGGGAAATTGTTAATTAAATGTGTTTGATTGATATAATTTTTCACCCGAAAAATTTTAAAATTTTGTGTTTATTTGGCTTTGTTTTACATGGAAATTGTTCATTAAAATGATAATTTTTTTCCACAATTGGTTATAAAATTTGTTTCCATTGCTAAAAAGTTAAAAAAAAAAAGGGAAAAATTTTCCTAAAAAAATCATTTTTTATATAAAAATTTAGTTTTCGTTT